GGGCGGTGGGTAGTGTGGTAGGGAGCGGTGAGTGCTGTGTTATATGCTGGATGTGCACCAGTGTTCAGCTCAGCAACAGTGGCTTAAACACCCTGGTCACTCATTCCTGAACATTGTGTTCACATTTGGCAAGCCAATGATTTCTTCAAACTTACATCTGTGCATATCGTAATATTGGCATCCAAGGCATACATCTTGCTTTCAGTTTGGTGATAAATCTACATTCTTTATACGTGTGTCTGTATGGCTGTCCAGATGCCAGTTCAGTATTTTTTATTCTCGCCCTTGGCGATTCACATCTCACTAGGACAAAAGTTGGCCAAGAGCCACACTCATTAATGTTTGGGAAGAAAAATAGCTGTGTAAGACTTCTTTATTTATGACTATTATGCCTTGCACAGTATCACTTTAAAAATTTGGGAAAATAAAAATGAATGAAGTTTCTCTCATTATTTTACAGTTCCTAGAAAGCTTGCAGTAATGAGCTCTGTAAGTGGATATAAGGGCTGTATTGATTTGAAGAACCTGATGCTCAACAATCCTTTTTTATTTTTAATCATGATAGCATTTTCTAAAAATTGTATTTAATGTAAAAATGTAAGATCACTTTCTCTTCTAAATTCCTGTTTTCTTAACCAATTTCCTGGCTTTCAATCTATCCCTGATTTCACTCGTTTACTCAAGAAATGTATGAAAAAAGAAAAATGTACGTAGCAGGAATGCAGAAAGTCACAGAAAGGCCATGGACACAGTTACACAGGTGCAATAAGGTGTATGGAGTCACACAACACAAGCATGCAGAGACACATGAGGGACTGTGGTTGGCCCACTGAAGCAGGATGCATCACAGGGAGGATGGCAAGTCCTGCCCACCACGCGGCCTCCGCAGGGACCTGGGTATCCCTGTGTGTACAGTTACCAGGCCTCCCTGCCTGTGACCCCACTGAACCCCATCCCCCCAGCCTACCAACTCCTGACCAGTACCCCCAGCCTGAAGCCACCCCAGAGCCCATCGCTGGTCCCTGAGGCTCCTCCTCCTTGTTGAGGGGTGCCCAGAGCCTAGTGCCTCCTTTGACATGTACTAAGTGTTTGTGGGTTTAGTGTGGCTAGTTTTATCTTAACTGAATACATTAATTGATGGTGATTATGCAATGAAGTCTGAGGAATTAGCTGTCAAGTTAGAATGTATAATTGTTCTGAACAACTTAATCATAAAAGAACCCTTTAGGATGTCAATATTTCTAGATTTAGGTACCAAATAAAAAGACCTTGTTTTCAACTATTCTAAAATATGATTTCTGAAACTAAGATTTTTTTAACTGTAAAAATAGGCTTATATACCTACCCTATCATTTTTATTAGCTTTCTCTGAGGATAAAATGAGAAAAGGTGTGCAAAATTACTTTGTTATTGGTTTTTATTACGTGTGTTATATAGGTGCTGCCTTATATAGCATGAACACAAATGAAATGGTTCTAATTTCATTCCTTTTAACTAAAAATACTCCTTATCATCCAATGGCACACATATGAATGTCATCTATAACTTATCTATCATTGTATCACCATTATTTTTATAGCTATAATCATGTTTGCTTATGAGTTAGGAAAATTATTTCTCTACATGTACTTTGGAGAGCTGAAGGGAAAGTATCTGAATCTGTTCTATATCATTTGACAGATGTGTTGTTAAACTGTTTTATTAGAAAATTCTCATTTTTCAACAGAAAATCAATTATTGTACAATACTTATATACTATAGTATTGATTGATAGCATTTGAACTTGAATTCTATTTATTAAAAGTGATTGAGAAGTTTTGGCATGGAATTTAGCCCTTTCATACCATTTATGATTTGTTGAACATCTATCAGATCAAAACCCCCCTGCATCAAATTCTCACTTCATCCCACACCAGCCTTGTGGGGTCATGCAAGATTCTTTGTTGTTTTGTGTACTTATATTCATTCACTTATCCATTCATTAACTTGTTCATTTTCTTCTGCTTTCTCTCATTTTCTTTTTCCCTTCTTGGGCAACTAATATAATCTATCTGATGCCTATTGCTTACTTGTAAAATATATTTCATTTTATGTGCATGTCATGCAAATCCACATAAACAGCATTTCTCCAGAGAGTACACCCTATTTCTCACCTGGCGCAGATTTTTGAGATGGATCCACCTTCTGGTATTAACCCCTGGTGAGGTCTGTTTCCTCCAACTTCTGCCAAACAGTTCCATAATTAGCATCTATACCCTCCCAATGCCCACATCTCCTGATTCCGCCACAACTGCATATCCAAGAAGGGAATTTCTGGAAACATATGCTTTTAATTTAACTGGTTTCTGTGAGGTTGCCCTAAGAAGAGTTTCACTCACTTGGCTCTTATTAGGCTACTCGCACCTTTACAAACTATAAACGGGCTGCTGTTTCTGTGCTCGTCCCGATGCAGTCCCAGCACTGCATCGTTTGTGATGTGGAGCATCCCAGGGGCCAGTCCCACTATTTTAGATGGACTTGCTTTCCTGCTTTCTAGTTCAGTTCATTCACTGCTGGCGTGGAGTAGTGCCACTGTTGTTATGTTGACTGTGTGTCCTGCACCTTTGATAAATCTAGTTGTCCTAAGGTTTTTGTGGAGTCTTTGGGGGCTTTCTGTATATATAAGATCATGCACTCTGCAAACTGAGGCTTCGCTTCTTTTCCTACTGAGATGCCCTTCAATTCTTTCCCTTGGCTGGTCTGGCTAGGACTTCCCGTACTACATTTAGTGAAAGTGGTGAACTGGCATGCCTGTGTTTTTCCAGATATTAGAAAATGTTCAGGTTTTCCCATTTGGTACAATGCCTTGTATTATGTTGGGGGAATTCCCGCTGTACCTAGTCTGCTCTTTATTTTTGTCATGAAGGGATATTGAACATTATCAAATGTCTTTTCCTTCATTCTGCTGATGTGTTGTATCAATTATATTATCTTTTTAATCATGGAGTATTTAATTGTTACAACCTATAAAATCACTTTATAGAATAAATACAGAGTTGTCAGTATGTTCCGTCCACAGTTCATTATGGCTCGGACAGGACTGGTAGGAGGCTAGTGAGAAGTATGAAGGAACTCTGTGTAAGCGGCTCCCTTTCCTGGAAGATCTCACCGTGCCTGAGCCAGGATCAGCGCGCTCACAGAACCTTTTGAGCTGCAGCACCGCACCCACCAGCTAGCGTGAGAACGTGTGGAGGGGTTTGGCTGCCAGCTATGGGACCGCGTGGGTCACGTGGTGCATGGTGTTAGCTGTGTATCTAGATAGGATTCTGGCTATCTGTGTAATTTTTCAGCAGTTTTTGAAGTAATACTAAATAGTTTTATGACTAGGTACATATTTCATTTCACTGGATAATTATGTTTTTCAACTTGCCCTTTATTTTAGGATGTAAATCTTGAACAGCTAGATTCACAGAAAAAGAATGAAAATCTATGACTTTCTTTGCAAAGAATATGCTCCTGCAAAAATATGACAATGCAATTTCTGAATTCATTTATTTTAATTCAAAGTCATCTGTTTATAAATGTACTTTTTCTCTGACCTTAAAAAAGTGCTTTATTTTCTTCTTTCAGTGTGCCATAGTTTTCTTTAGAGGTATTGTCACTGTCTGTTACATAATTTTCTCATTTTATGTGTACAACAGCCTGGGATGGTTGAAATAAACCCTAAGGCCACCTGGAGATAAAGTTTTCATGGAGTAAGGTATCGAAAAGTCATTTTCTGTTTGTGTTCCTCTGAGCCTTCTTACGACTTCCTCTGGTGCTTCGCTGTGATGTACTACATTTCCCTTGCTGGACTGCAGCTGGCAGTGTGCTTTCCAGGGTGTTTCCTCACCGACTCCTCATGCCTTGTGCAGTTTCCCAGTGAGCTCAGCAGTGGGCAGTCGGGAATTTCACACAGGACAAAGCTCATGAAAAACCCAATTGTTCAGTAATTACTAATTTTTTAGAAATTACACTATATGTATGGTATACAGACATTTTTCTCAGATCAAAGTTATGCATATTCACAAAAGTTTTGGCACTGAGTTGGATGATCTCATCTTTTATGCAGATCCCATACCCACATCTTAGGACCACGTAAGTCATGCCAAACATATATCCCTAAATTATTTTGAATCTCATAACATGGGCCAAAGAGACTATATGTAAAATATTTAAATATTGTGTTACTATTTTATTTTTGTATAAAACTATCTCTTTAGACAGAGAGGAAAGTGAAACACCCTGGCCAGGCCAGCTACATAATTTATGGGACTCAGTAGAAAATGAAAATACGGGTGCTTTGTTCAGGCACTGTTACAGATGTCAAGATAGCAACAGCAGACCATTACACCAAGTACCGCGCCTTTCTGCACACAGGGCCTGTGCTCCTGCACTGGGTACAGACCCAAGCAGCTACCCTTCCTGAAGCTTCCTGCTGTTTTATTCAGGACTGTCTCGTGTCCAGTGAGAGAAAAACTGAAAATGCGTTCTATTTAATCTGGAAAGACGTAAGGTACTTTCATCTCTAGAGGGGAGTTTCACCAGGAAATCTTGATGATGTTTTTCTGAGACTCCCATTCCATGATAAAACATGAAAGTTTGCGCTCTTGTAAGAGCTTCCTCTCTGAGGGAGAATTCTACTGGTAGCAAAATGATTGTGCATTCTCTGTACAAAATTGCTGCAAGCAGTCTATATTCAGTACTGTGTTCTTTGTAGACGTGTGAGCAGAATGCATGTGTTTGACAATATTTCATGAGTTTTCAGAAGCAAAAGTTTGCATGTTGTATTACATATATGTTGTGTGTTCAGGTAAGTTGATGACAGCAAACTGCAGAATGTTGCAGAGAACTTCGAAGGGGTTTTCTCTGACCTGGTGTGCTGCGCTGGCTTTTAAGTGCAAAGAGATACCTCTCGTTTCCTGTGAACCCAGAGCGGAGAACACACACATTTGATTTTATTCTCCAATTTGCCTTTACAGGGATGCAAGTACTGGAGTGGAATGGAATCCCCTTAACTTCTAAAACATACGAAGAAGTACAGAGCATCATTAGCCAGCAGAGTGGGGAAGCAGAAATATGTGTAAGACTGTGAGTTTTTCCCCATCTTTCTGTTTCCATTTTTTGGCTATTCATGGCTCTTTTAATTTAAAATTGTTAAGGTGGAACCTTTGCCAGGCAGCAAGTCCTTCAGTAATTAGAGAAAGAAGCGAATACAAAGTTTATAGATTTCTTGTGTTCAGAATCAAAGACCAAAGCATAGACAGAATTCAGCTGACTTAGTTTCTGAATAAGTCAATAGCTCTCTTTCTTTTCATACATTTATTGAAACATGCTTCATTTAAATGAAAGCCTGAACCCATTTAGATTTCATGGATGTGTAGGGCATTTCAAGATGAACTTACACTTAATCCATAAAGATTTCACCTTAAATGTCATTTTTATCAGCTCTGACTTTTAACAGCATTGCAAATACCTACTGGGATACAAGGGTGAGCATGCTTTGGAGTTGCTTTTATCATAACCACTTCTCATTTATCTCCTGAAAACAATCAGGGCAGTTGGCAGAAAGTGCTTTGCCTCAGGCTTCCTCAATTTCGTAATGTTTTGTCTTCATTCTTAGGGATCTCAGTATGCTGTCAGACTCTGAAAATTCCCAGCACCTGGAGCTCCATGAGCCACCCAAAGCTGGTAGGTAGATGCATTTGCTTCCAGCCGTGGATGAAGAGCCAGATCCAGGCATGGTTTAGGGGCAGATGCAGCTGGCCGTGGAAGACACAGACACAAACACAGGCACAGACAAGGGGGTAGATTTGTATGTTTATATAATTGCGAACAAAACGGAAAGCATTGTAGCTATATTTTAGCATGCTAATGAAATGTTTGTATTAGATTTGATAAGAAATTCATATTAAGTCCTTGCTGTGTGAGTTCAAACTTTTAATTCTTTAAATATGAATTCATCCTGTGAAAGTGATGCATGGAGCCACATCTTTTGATCTTGCATATTTTTAGTTAATATTCATTTCCTTTAAGCATAACAATATTTTTCTTTTTTGTGGGGTGGGGTGTGGATGCTGAGGATTGAGCCCAGGGCCTTGTGTGTGCCTCGCTAATGTTCCATGTCTGAGCGACATCCCAGCCTATAACTCAGTTTTGAAATTTTATTCCAGTACTTTTTCATTGCCTTTTCATAAGAAATAGAAATCAACTTGTGAGTTCATAAGTTTAAGATAAAAAGACTTAAATCTTTCTTATGTACAATCTGCACATTTACTAGATTGGTTGTAAGATTTTAAATGCTACGTTTCCTTTATTTAACTTTGATTGAACACTTCCTATGCCTACATGCCAATTCTAGAGTCTGGGTCGCTGCATTAAAAAGAGTAGGCCAAGTCCTACAGGGACTTTAACCCCTGCCAATGTAAGTGAACTCGAGACTCTCCTAAGATGAAGGGGCAAGCAGCCTACCATACAAACATGTTCCACAGGGTGCCTAGGACATTGCATGATCCACACAGTTCTCTACTACACATTAAAAGCATTTTTCTGAAGACACAGTAGGAAACCCAGGCACCCTCTGGCCTTCCTCTTTGGCCACTCTTCTCTGGCCTCAACTCCCTTAGAGTCCCTCACGTTGATTTGAGAGTTTAGCTTAGGTTTTCAGTCATCATTTGCCTGTGTCACCTAGAACTCCAGTGAGTTCATGGTGCCAGACCTAGGCACTTGAGGCATGTGAGCCTCTCCTGTTGTTGCAGTGGATAAAGCCAAGTCCCCAGGGGTGGACCCCAAGCAACTGGCCGCCGAGCTGCAGAAGGTCTCACTGCAGCAGTCCCCGCTGGTCCTGGCGTCCGTCGTGGAGAAGGGGTCGCATGGTCACTCGGGCCCCACGTCTGCGGGATCCAGTTCTGTCCCCAGCCCTGGGCAGCCGGGGTCTCCGTCCGTGAGCAAAAAGAAGCACAGCAGCAGCAAGGTGAGACGAGTTCACGCTGACTTCCTTCTTTCCGGCTCTGCACCCTGCCCAGGACACAGGAAAAAAAAACAACATGTCCTCCAGGGTTTGGCCTGTGACTTCTCATTTCCTAATGGTGCAGTGAAACAAACACCTGCTTCCTCTTTGACTGTTTAGCTGATAACGATGTATCAGGGTGATGTATTACAATACCTTTTAAAATATTTCAGTAGTTATTATTATGAGGAGCTTGAGAAATGTGCCTGATATTTCCTGTGTTCTGGTTATTTTTCTTGGTGGTGGCATGAATCTGAGCTTCTCTGTGTCTCAGACATTAGTTTTGTGTCTTTTTGAAGAGATACACATTGCATTAGATATTATACTTTAAATAAAAATTAAAAATAGGTGTAGAATTGAGGACAATAAAAAAACAAGGAAACCCAGTAACACATTATTACCATTGTGAATTTTATCCCCAATTCCATGTTGATTAATTTCTTTCTTCATATATATCTTGCTTTGAAACAAATGTTTTCAGTACCATATGTGATGCTGGGGATTTAAAAAGGAACATGGGATTAATTTTTAAACTCAGAAAAGCAAATGACAGTGAGACAGTTTATAATTGTGTGATTATGTGACTTTCCTGTTTGGAAGGCATACCTGCCCTCCCTGTTTGGATGTCTCACCCTTGTCTCTGTGGGGCCTCTATTCTACCCACCCTGAGGGCCCCATCGAGTGCTTTTCCTTGGGAGGTTATTACAGTGAGCATTATGTTGTCAGCCTTCACCGGAGCCTTGTAGGAAATACTCAGTTTATTAGAGTTTCTAGCTCCCTCTGGTTTTCCACAGGCTCTTTTTTATGTCATTTCCATTTCAGGGATCATGATCCATAGCCAAGACACAAGGATGGGAAAATCCCATCCATCCGTACCAGGTGGACCAGTGGTTCCCAGCCCACCAACATCAGGATCAGCAGGGCACTTGTTTCTCATTATCTTCCACATCCTCCTAAGCACATAGTTGAAAAGCTTGAAGAGAAGAGTAGCAAAATAAAATAAATATCTGTGCATTAAAACATCACCAGTCACTTGCGGTCTCCATAGCACTGTGGGAGTACAAAATTGATTGAATGTAATTTGTTAACCTTTTGGACAATATTAAAGAAATGATAGTAACAGGTTTATGATGTGCAGTAATTTATTTATATGCCAAGAATGTGGTCCTGTGTAGTTTTACAGTATTTTTGCTAAAATACCAAGTTACATTGCTACACTGTCAAATAGAAAATAATTGTCCACAGTCCATCCCTTGAAGCTTCTTGCTTATACAAAAATGATTACTTATAAGTAACACTAGTTAATTAAAAATACTCTAAACGAGTGTTCCTAAGTAAGTGCAGGTAAAATCTAAACAATCCAAACAAGTATTTAAGCCACACACACTGGGAGTTTGTGAAGTGTTTACCAGATACTCTTCTTTCACCATTCATAATCTAGAATACCCATAAAATATGTTTGTTATGGAGCTGGGCAATTAAAAATCATCAGGAAGTGTGTTGTCTTCATTAAATGTCAGTATATTTACATGACCTCATGTCAAAGGTGCTGCAGTTCTCCAAAATAAATCAAAAGGAAATTTACCAATTACTTTTGCTTTCTTTGGGGGAGTGGCCCTATTTTTGAATTCTCATCTTAGTTATTCCTTGACCATCATGCGTAAAGTACAAAGATTCCTTCTGTTGGAAATCTTCAAGGTCCTCTCCTGTAGTTATTTTGAAATACATGGTATTTATTATAAACTCTCATCTCTCTTCTGCACTGTAGAACACTAGAACCTGCCTCTCCTCTGCGGACTGCGCTGTGGTTTCCTGTACCCAGCGTCTCTCTGCCCCTCCCTCGTTCTGACACTCACTGCTCTGCTCTCTGCAGAGAGGAGCTTCATCGCCTTCCCCCAGGGCATGAGGACTCCCACGTTCGCTTCTCTGTGCCTGGCTAAACGCTGAGCACCTCCACACGTCCATAGAATTAGGTGCCAAGTAACGACTTTAAAAATAAAATAAATAGCAAATACTACTTTGATAAATGTGCATGGTGTCGAAATGAGAAAACTCCTAATCTTGAATCAGATATAAATAGTTCCAAGAATTGTTGTGGATTTTCTTTTCTCTGGCTTCAATTTTCTTTTTTGAATTTAAACAGTAAGGTAATTATGAAATAAATGTCATCCTTTAATAACTAATGAATAGTTTACCCACTGAAGCCAGAGCACAATTTGGGTATTGATCAATGATACTTTTTAATAACTGAGCTGAACTAATAAAGGATACATGGCTTAGAAACCTTAACCTCTCCTCCAATAATTTCATCAATGATTACATTAATTTTATTATTGAATTGTTAATGAAATATGACTTGGATGAAAATTCTCTTTTGACTGCCCTGATTTCTGAAATAAAATAAAAAGGAAAAGGTAATTAACAAGTATATCAAAATAAATATTATGGATATTTCTGTTTTCCATTTAATTACTACAAGGCCACTATTGCATACATAGATGTTGATAGGGTTGTATGTGCAGGGTGGCGAGGTGGCCACCACTTTTGCACGTGTGGCCTCTACGTTGATGCCATAGTGTCTGAAATTCTCTTTCAGAACTGGGCCTGGGGCATGATCTGTGCTATTGTATAGTATTCTCAGGGAGCTGTAGCAAGTCAACAGCAAGCAGTCATTTATTCAGCAGTGTTAATCAGCTCACCAGACACCTCCTGACAGTAACTCCCAAAAGGAACACAGCCGGAAAAGTAGGAGAAAAGGGCTCCCCACTTCTGGGGAAGCCCTCTGAAAGGGTCAGGGGAGCGGAGCCCACGGCAGAGAACCAGAAAGAACTTTTATCACAGTTCTGTGTTCCTGGGAAGTTCTCGGATAAAAACTCCTTATTTTGTAGATCTTCAAAACCGTAACGTATTTACATGAGGTACTTTGAACCAAAAATGTTTATTCTTATAAGTAATCCAAAATAATCCTATAAAATTATAGTTACCACACAGGCTTTACAAACAGCAAAACAGATTTCTTTATGAATTTAAATATGTAATGAAAATTATATGTAGACTCTATTATTCTGAGGCAGCCAAATGGGTGAATTATATTTGTCAGGCACGGCTCTGACCAAATGGAAATTAACTTCAGAGAAAAGTTGCAATGATAAATTCTATGAATAGTTTATCTGTTCATGTAACATGTGCTCTTTAATCTTGCAGCCTACTGATGCAACAAAGGTTGTCTCTCATCCAATTACTGGAGAAATTCAGGTATGGCAGGTTTTAAAAAGTTCTCATGCTGCCATCTTTTTTATTTCTTTTTGCTCGGGTCCACTGAAATTGTAAATAAACTGCTCGAATCTTTCTTCTCCCCTAACACTATGTAATTATAAAAGGAAATGCAACTTGATAGCAGAGGATACTGAAGGTCAGGAGGGTTCTGCACCCATGTGGGAAGCCCAGCCCCTGCCCAGCTCCTGTGGGTGGCTTACATGCCTCTTTTCTGTAGGAAGTGTGTTTAGGGCTTCAGCAGTTACAGGCGAGCTCCAGGGCAGTGGAGAAGGGAGAGAATGGAGAGACCTGAAATCCGAGCAGACTCTCTGGTCAGTATTCTGCCTGAGTTCCTGTCTCAGCGCAGAGCTCCAAACTCCCTCCTGCCCCTCTTCTCTTAGTGCCCTTAACGTTCACAGTGCTTTCAGGAAGGGCAGGGACCCTGCAGACTGCCGTACCGAGTCGGGCAAGTAGAGATCCATTTTCTATCAGGAAACATGAGGTGAAAATTGTTCTAGGATCATCTTCATTGTAAATGAAGGTTTGACTCATTTAAATTTTCCTGTGTTCCCCATAAGCAGTGTGTGTCTATCATTAAAAAGTTAATATTTGTATCTTTGGATTTCCTCTGTGAAATACAGATCTTCCTGTTTCTACTGGATAAAGCCAGCAACAGCAGAGGGAAGCCTGGCTTATTTTAAATGACGTGAACAGACTCTTTCAATTATGAAAGGCAAAATTAGTTAACTCGATGTTTTGGGTTATGCCACTTTTCAAATATCCATTTGAGTTCTAATTCCTCTGCCGTTCTGTGAGTGTGCCACGATCAACGGGCATCTCTGAGACAGCGCCTCTTCTTCAGCTTCTAGAACTAAAAACTAGGCCTGGTTTATCCCAGTCTCCCACACTGCAAGAGAACAGGACCAGAAAAAGGAGCAACAAATTTACCATCAGAAAGTATAAAAGAGGGTGCAATAAAGCTACACATTCTTAACTATTTTTGCTTTTCAGTGCAACAGCTGTATCTTTTCCTAACTACCCACCCACAGCTAATCATCAGATGAAATGCATCTGACGATAAATTTTCCAGCTACTCCATGGATTTCATTGTGATATGAACAGGCACTGTTTTCAGAAGAGTAGAAATGTCTGCAAAAATGTAATCAGCGTTCACTGTATGATTTTCCTTCAGAATGAAGCTCAGCGAGGCCAGAACTTTTCACTGCCGAAGGAGTTAACAGCATGTTTACTAGGAATTACAACGTGTCCAGAGCTTCCAATTGCATTAGACATTCCCTGGTCTGTTCAGTTTCAAATAAAATGGAAATCAGGGCTGATGCTTCTTAAAAGATTGTAAATGCAATGTAGTAAAATGTCAAACGATAATGTAGTACATGTTTTGTTTGAAATTATGGACTCTTTTGCTTTCCCCAAAGCTTCAAATCAACTATGACCTCGGCAATCTCATAATACACATCCTCCAAGCAAGAAACCTTGTGCCTCGAGATAACAACGGTTACTCGGACCCTTTCGTGAAAGTCTACCTTCTTCCCGGGCGAGGGTAAGGAAGGGGCCGCGCATGTTCATGGGGGTGAGGGGGTCTCGCAGTGCGATGGTTCAAAGCCTGCCTCAGGTGCACTCTCTCCCTTTCCCTCAGCTTTCACCACAGGTCCTGTTCACTTCATTAGTGGATAAGGTGGAATTAAAAATTTATGATTAAGCCTTCAAGCGTCCTGGAAGATCAGTGATGTAGTAAAAACGTGCTTGTGGTGCCTCCTCTGAGGGACCCAGGAAGAAAGAAAGCAGCTAGGAAACTGGCTGTGGCAGACTTAAAGAATTAGCTTACAGTCTCAAATGTACTCGAAAAATCAGTTGTCAGCTGCTGTTTATTTACATAGGATGCGTGTGTTAACTGACGTATTTGATCTTCATTAGACTTCTTTGTGATGTACCCGCATGTATATGCATATTTCCAAACCAAGGCTTAACGCATAACCGTAAATAAGAATAATATTCAAAGTATCAGTTTTCATAGCCGAATGAAAACAATCTCTTTGACCCTCCTGTGCTATATATACATGGCTGGTGGAAAGTAAGCGCTCAGGGCTGGGCGTGTGGCTCAGTGATACAGCATGTGCTTAGCACGTGTGCGGCCCTGGCTTCACCCGCACCACCAAATCAAGTAAATAAATGGCAGAAAAGTGCTCTTTGGAGATGTTTAATTTTCATATAATTGATGCTAACTGCTATGTTCTGGTATGTAAATCAGCACTCAGCGATGGTTTCAAGACAGTGACTTGGCCTCTAAAGAACGTTATTCTCCATCTGAACAATGTCTATTAGCCAAATTAGCGTGCTGAAACCGCATGGGACCCACAAATGAGGCACATCATGGAGAGGCCTGGGTTGGTAATTTAAAGATACTGGCTTTATTTCTCATTTACTTGGCCTTAAATCTGGGGAGTGACATTTAAATATTATGTTTTCCCTGAGAAGTTCAGTTGTGGTACAGAAGCGGGAAGAGTAGGAAGATCCACCACGTGCCTCCCTCCGCTCCGGTCATCACCCTCACTCACCAGCCAGCTATGTCTCCTTTTTACCCTCACACACAACCCTCCTACAGTATTTTGGAGTAGATCCCAGCTATTGTGACTTCTTTGCAATTACTCCAGCATATAGTATTTCTAAAAGAATGACTCATTTTAAAATAGCTATAATATCACATATAACCATAATAATTTTAAAATTTACTTGTCTTAATTTTCCAATTGTTTTATAATATTTCCCTAGATGGTTTAAGGATGTAATAATATTTTTAGAGCATACTATCCATCAACAGCAAAATTTGTATTCTTTGTAAGTACACATGGAGTATTCACTAAAACTGTGTTCCTGGCTATAAAACAAATCCCAACAAATGTAAAAATATCAAAGTCATACAGAAAATGTTCTCTGACTGTAGCTGGTTTGCTTGAATAGGATCCAAATGGGAATTGTTCACTGCGTTTGCCTCTGCTCCATGCTGGTTATGTCACTGTGGGCAGTATCACCCATTTCTGAGATTCATCTTCCTAATGTCTATCTAAGACAGCTAAGGAAGAGAACTGTAAGTTTTAGTTTGTCTGAAGAAACAAATTGATACTATTCAGAAAATCTTTTGAAAATTGCTAGATGCTAGATCAAATTCAGTATACAGGCTTTAATTTCATCCTTCCTAATAATTCCATTTAGAAACTCAGAATTTTTTGTATCATAGGTCTAGTTTTAATTTATTAACGATTTTTAACTCTCATTAATTTTATATAGAGTTTACCCACTAGCTTCATAACCCAAGAAAAGGGATCCTTTCTTTTATGCTAATTTGTACATTTATGTAATTGTGTGTATATAACGTGGCTACATCTTTTAAAGTGAATGTAACAAAAATAACAACAAACCAAATTTCATTCTGATTTTGATTTTTCTCAGCAGATTTTTAGTGTTATTTAATGACTACACTAGGAAACCACTGCCAGGCATTGGCCTCTAATTAGCATTTTTTTAAAAAATGAATGAAAATAAAGCCCTGCCACTTATTTTTCGTCTTCTCAAATAATGTAGAGCAGTATCATCTTTTATACTACATGAGAGTAAATAACTTCCTTCTACCAGATATGTTTTACTTAGAGTTTTCAAACTTCCATAACCAGAAAGGGCATGCAGGTGGCATGAATGCCAGTCTACTCTGCAGTAAGCAGCATAGAAAGGTGAGGATGCAATGACATACAGAGGGCATTTCCTCCCAACATTGTCCTCCCGCGGACGTGTCCTCATCCAAAATATCCCTGATGTGTGGGTTTAGTTTAAAGGCAACTAATGTGCTGCTAATATCAAATTTGTAGTTCTTTCATTAAATTGTTGCAGTGGCCAAAGCATTGGGGTTTCTTGTACTTTTAAGGCATTATTTTCACATAGTTCTAAAATTGTCTCCTGCTTTATGTCCTTTATATGTTATGGACTAGCTCCTCTAACGAATGTTCTTCTATTTCCTTCTTTATTTCCCTTCCTAATGGTTTTCTTCCTGTCTTTTCTACTTGCCTGTTGTACCCTTCTCTTCTCGCTCTCGGAATCAATGCAGCCAAGTCATGGTTGTCCAGAATGCAAGGTAGAGTTCATTCTTTTTTAGTGTCAAGCTGTACTGTTATGTTTAGAGTCATACTTTTTGTATATTTATGTATTTTGACCTGCAATTCAACCTAGCCTGTAACTTTCTTTTTCTGCATTTTAATGTCTATTGAACTCGGTCTATAGCAAATCCTTCTTTTCTAAAGGGTATGTGCAGTGGGATACAGAAAAACAGAAAATGCTGAAAATATAGAAAAGATGAATAAGGACCTGTCACCCTGAATTAGATGCTACTAACATTTTCATTTACAATCTGTCCACTGAATCTTATTTTGCTTCTTGGCTGAAAATCATGGCTTGAATTCTCCTGGCTCTTCTATTACAAATAAAAATGTCCAGAGCCACTTTTTAAATGGACTTAACTGATCTGGATATCCAGTAGTAGATATATATCCCATCTCAAACACAGTAAGTGTCTCCCTCACTTGAATCTGATCTTGGAACATCTCCCTGTGTTATGCCTATTCACCAAAGATTTACCGTAGTCAGTGTGGGACTCCATATGTGCACATGCAGCGCACTGGCCAGGATGTACGAGTATCCCTTCTTTTCAATACTAGGGAACTGTTTCCTGCTATTTAAGCCATAACATATTGCATCATTACATTACCAACTAAGGTTATTGCTTAATACACAGCCAGAAGCATTATTGTGCACAGTTCTTGGTGCATTATATATTAAATGTGTTATTTAGTGGGGAAGGCTAATGATGTACCATCTGGCTATAGGGTGATGACAATTTTAATTCCACCTTGATTATTAATGATCCAGCCTTTGTTTTGTTTGTGATATTAAAATATGATATCTTTATTAATCCTGACAAGCTGTTGCCCACAAGGGGATGCTTCACATTTTTAAAGGCATAAATATTTGCATATTACAAACAAGGAGTAGTGGCCATAGCCCTGCCAGTACCCAGAATCTTTTCACTTCCTTGCAGCTGAGGAACGGTGGCAGTGAACTTTAACGTGGCAGTGGTTTCTCGTTATGTCTCATGCACTCCTCACGGCACACAGGCCAGGTGCCTCGAACTGATAAATGAAATGCAGTCATTTCAAAGAGATAATGTTGTTTTTAGAACAGACATTATCAATCACATTATTTGGAATTTCCCTGTCTTTTATCTAAAGAAACTAAGGGGATAGTTTCAGAATACTGTCTGTCTGTGTTTAATAACTGAGAGGAGAGCATGGTGTATAAATGTGCATAGTGACAGAATGAGTCTGGGATGCTCTGGACTACAATGTGGACGCTCTAAAAGTCATCCACCCATTTGCAGTTACTTTCACAGTACCTTTGGGAATTATTAACATGGGCAGGAATGACAAGGGACTGAAATTGTAAGTTAGTCCGTGGAGGCCAGTGAATAAAGTCCTTAAGAATTTAGGTTTTAGTTCAGCCCTACCACTTCAAAGCTAGGAGATTTACCTAACACTAGTTTTTTTATTCCTGCTAACTAGGAATAGTAATAGCCATCTTCACAGGCTTAGTGTGTGTGTGTGTGTGTGTGTGTGTGTGTGTGTGAAATGCGGGGGTTTATAAGCCAAAAGTGATAAGCACAGTGTCTGCCATCTAATAAGCTTTCAGTAAACGCCACTTGCTGTTATCGTTGCAAGTAATGTGTATAATTTTTATGTAGTCATTGGTCAGTTATGTCTGCAAAATTGAGAAATAGTATGTTTAGGCTACTCAAGTATATCAAATTAATCATCAACAGAATAAAGAAAATGAAACAGTTTTTCTCTAATAGCTAAAGGTAATGCACTAAAGCCAAAATAATGGAAGTGCTGTTAAGTCCTAGCCTACACTGGTCCGGTTTTCCCATCCCGTTTCACTTCCTCTCCCTGCCCTTCAGTGGACGTACTCACAGCACTAAGAGGGCAAGTGTCAGGCAGGACTGAGAGAATGACAAGGAAGGAGCACAGTGGTCCCCAAGCGGACACTGGGCTGGGTAACTAGGGAGTGGGAAGGTGCATCTGCGGGTCTCCTTTCTTAGGCTCGCTCTCCTCACACTGTCGGGCAAAGAGCAAAATCTTTTCCTTTAATGAGATTTTGCTTGATTGCACCTAGTTTTAGCAAGCATATCCTCGGAAACTCAATTACTGGCTACAGTTGCTCTAAATATCCTTGTTAGCCTATGAAACTATTTCCTCTGAGACCGCTATTATATATATTTGAAAGATGACGGCCCAAATTTAATTTCAGTAGATTTTAAAGAAAAACGAAGAAGCCCAAGCTTCTTAGAAGCACATGCACGTTTAAAGATCTGCTCAGCACATGCCTGCTTCCTCCAAGCTGTGTGCGGATACCGGGAGGCAGGAGGGTGAGCGGAGGCGGCGCAGCTGTGCTCCCTGCTCTGCAGGGGCGGACCGGCTAAGGAGACGCGGACAGGAAGGCACACCGCGCAGGCAAACCCGGCTGGCAAAGGGGCTGTGCTGTCCGCTCCTTCCTATGTAGAAAGATTCCGGCACAGGAAACCCGAGTCGAACTTTAAAACCGTGCATAATGACAATGTTTTAGCTATTTCAGTGAAAGTTGATACAAATGCTTCATCATATTCTGCTTTTTCTCAGTATTTCCTTTTGAAATTAAAAAGAGAAGTTTGGAGAATGTTTCCTATGACTACACCAAAAGCACATCTGCCTCTGACTAAAATAACTTAATAAAAGAAAAGAAAAAGGAACCTTAAGGGGGGAATTGAGTGTACCCACCCGTTCTCACTCTGACCTCTTGCTCCCCCACATCGGTCTCTCTCTGGTACCCACCACAGCCTAACCGTCCAAGGTGATACTGTGCGTGCGCTCTCCCCATGTGGGACACGCTGCACGGTGTTTGCCAGGCCAGAAAAGAACAGGAGACAGAGTTTACCTCTCAGTCAGCCTCAGTCACGTTCCTATTCGAGAATCCTCGGCAGCGCCATCACCTTGCGAGGGCACAGCCGCAGACACGGAGTGGCTGGGAGGAGAGCGCTAGTTCTCAGCTGTGTAAAGAGGCGGCACAGCCCCGGAATCTGCTCTAGAGTCAGGGTGGGGCGGCTCTCCACAGTGTCCTGAAGGGATGGCCAGGAACAGCGGCTCTGCGCCTCTGCAAACAGGCGTGCAGGGGTGACTGCGCAGGGGCCCCAGGCACCAAGGAGCCACTGGGGCCGGGGCGGGCGTTTCCCTTCCTTATCCCGCAGCCAGCACCGCTGTTGGATCTGGAGAGAAGAGACAACCACGCCATTGCCAACACTGAGACGCTAGTAAAATAAACACCTGAATTTGTGCCTGTCGGATATTTACAGTAAATATCTCTAATTATTTCACAGTATTTATGCAACATTTCCCTAAGCAAATCTAAAGTTAGCCTGATCTTTTACATATATGTGTATGTGCACAAACAGTACATATAATTATGTAACAAAGTTGTATATTTGAATTGAGGTAGAGAACTTTAAATTATAATAAAGCCTACAATTAAGAAGATAGATAGCCCAAATCAGAGAAGTCCGTATGTTCAAGAACAAAAATCTAGCTCCCTATTTAATTTCCTACCCTTGCCAGTCAGAATCTGCAGCCTCACCAGCACCTCAGTTCTGCACTTTGATTTTTCTTACCTGTCATAGAGGATAATAAGCAATGCCTGTCTGCTAGGGATGAGCTGATGAGAATTAAGTGAGTTAACAAATAAAAAGCATTTAGAATTCTACCTTGGAAAAAATTTTTCCATGTTAAGTGTTATTACTTAGTGTACTTTTTTATTTTAAGAAAAAAATAACAACAATGAAGACAAAAACAAAACAATACAGGATTTCAGAACAAGATGATAGGAATTAACAATGGTTGTTGTATTCCATATTTTTATCTTCACGAAGTTGCTCAGATTACCAGATGTAAGAATGCAAGATTGATCAAACCATTAAAGACAATAACAAGTAATTTTTAAAAACATTAGAAACAATACAGAGTTTCACTAAACAAGATGGTAGGAATTCAGCAATGGTTGTTATATTGCATATTGTTGTCTTCAAATCAGTTGTTCTGATTACCAGATATAAGCATGCAGAATTGGTCAAGAGAAAAAAATTCAAGCATTAACTGTTCCTTTCAATAAACCAATAGATATCAGGATTACACTTATCTCAGCTATTCTTGTATATACATATATTTTCCCTTTTTTCATTTTAAAGAGAAAATATCAAAGACAAAAATAACAAAAACAAAGGCATAAACAAAAAAACATAAAAACAATAAAAATGAGAATTTCAAAGCAAGGTTATAGGAAATTAAGAATGGTTGTTATATTACATATAGTTATCTTCAAAGTAGTTCCTCAGATAACCAGTTATAGGCATTTAAGATTGATCAATTACACATTAACAGTTCCTTTCAATAAACCAATATAAATTAGTTGTACAGTTATCTTAGCTATCTTGTGTATATAAATATACCTATTTTCCCTTCTTTCTTTTTTCTCTTTTCCCTCGTCCCAGTTGTTCTTTCCTACTTGAGCAGTTTCTTTCCCTTAGTATACTTTTTAAAAGAAGTGTTTCTTATGCATAAATCTATTATATGATCATATATCAGTAAAATTAAATAATGAGTTTGTAGTTGTACATCTTGAAAGATATGGACAGTTCCTGGATGAGAACTGGCATTTGAGTTTTTCCTAGATGTACAAATGCAAAAATTACTAAATATGGATAAAAAAAATTTTAACAATTATCATATTTATGAAATAAGAAAAGATGGTGACTTATAAATCCTTTTGAAAACATCCAAAATTGCGGTAATTTTAATATGTAGTCATATGCAGAATTTTATTTGAAAGTACATGAGTGTGCATTTTACATTTATTCCCATCTCTTAAAATTATACAGATAAAAACTTTTTTAGAATGTAGCAGTGAATTGAGCTGCTGTTCACACTGTTGTGAATCATATCCTTACTGATATTACATATTCCTATGTTCTCTTCACTTTGATAACTAAGTCCCAAACCAACAAAAACTTTGAAACTCACAATGCCAGGCAGGAGAGTCACAAATTTAAGACCAGTGATGTAATTTAAAGAGATTCTGTCTCAAAAAAGGGCTGGGGATGCTTCTCAGTGGAAAAGCATGCTGGGCTTACTCCTCCATAATGCAAAATAAAGCAAAAGTTGTGCACTTACTATCCAGTTTTATCAAACCATAATATTTTGTTTTATTTGCTTCAGATGTCTATTTAACAAAACATGGTTTACAGGTAACTCTAAGATCACTTCACTGACCACCTCAAATAACCACTAAATTGAATTTAATATCTATACTTATGTTTTCTGTTATATTAATATAGTTATCATATATAATGTGTAATAAATAATTTATACTAAATTATTATTTCATAGGATTTTTAACTTTATATCCTGATACTATACATAACTATATTTATTTTTTTCTACATTATTTTGATAAAGATTTTTCTCAAGATTTCTCTATTTGGGTACCTGGAGATTTATTTAGTTCATTTTAACTAGCACTTAGTATTTCACTGATTAAATATATCATACTATTAGACTATGTCATTCTCTTATTGACTTACTATTAGAAACAATGTTGCAGTCTATGTTCCAGAACAAGTTTCTTATGCACAGCCGGAAGAGTTTGTAGAAGTGGCCTAAGTAGAAGTGATTGGATGCATGACTTAAATTGCAGTAGACGTTGACAGTTATCTAAAGTGTGTGTACACAAACATACTTTCTGTCTACAGTCCATAGGAATTCCTATTTCTTTAAATCATTATGTTCTTGTTTTTGTACATTCAAATGAGTTTCTTAGCAGTGAGAGGAATGCTGCTTTAATTTTTAAATTTTACTCAGCTCACAGTGGATGACATGTGAGAAGTTATGGGCACAAGCTCAGTGGATCTAGATCTAGCTACACAATAACTATACTGGGAGCCTTCAAAACTCCTAATGCTTAAACCTTACCCAGATTAATTAGAAGGGACACTCTCTGGACCCTGTGCATGTGCCTGTGTATGCATGCGTGCGTGTTTAGTTATGCGGTGTTGACTGCCTGACCTCCCTGTGCCAGAACTCCCAGCCCCAGCTGATCCCATTGGGCCGTCCACTGGGAATTAACTGCCCTTGCAGGTAGCTGATAAAGAATAAAACCAGAACGAGAAGGCCAGTCCTTGGCTGTCTGGCCATTTCTAAAAGTAGGAGATGTACCTGAGATTGGTTCTCAGTGGCTTTATTAGAATGCATGGGCAAGTCAGCAGCTGGGGATCAACACTAGGCATCCAGGGTGGGGCAGTACTTGTGACCAGGCATGCAGCAAGTTAGTGTGGTAACATATAATTTGGAGTAGAACAACAGATGACAGTGCCAGAATCCAGTGCCTGTAGGAAAAGGCAGGCTGTGAAGTCCAGGACCTCATAGCCTGGACTAGGGTTCCAAGGCCCTCACCCCACCAGAGACAGCATTAAAGAACTGATGTGTGAGCTAGGACAGAAGTGGTGCAGTGAAAGTCTGACCAGGGCTTGGCTGTGTGAACACCACGTGTTAATAGCAGACTGAAGCAATTTGGTGAGTGCCAGTTATAGGTGTTCTATCTCAATTAGGACAGAATTTGAATATAATTGTTTAAGCGTGGAGAATACATCGTTCTATCTGTTCGGAGGGAATGGAAGCATCGGGGATTAGCTCACTTGCCCAAATTACAATGAATGAGAAGAAATTTTATTTTTTTCATAAATTGTAAAAAGTAATTGGCATGAATCAATAATTTATATTTAATTAAAATTGTTTCATGGCTACATAGCCTATCATACTTTACCAGAGTCAGAATATACTCTAAATATTAGATAAATGTTCATGAGATTTCAACTAAAGCAATCGCCATCCTTCCTCCTTCTCTCAGTGAATGCAGCCCTTCCAACTTAAAATAATAAGACTGATCATATAGCTGTGCTGACATGCTTAGCTGTAGAACTATTGGAAAGTTAAAAACAAAATTTCATTTGTGGAGCAAGAAGATATTGAGGTTACCATTGAGTACTTGTAATTACCTCTTACATTCAGGAAGAGTAAGATTTCCAAAATTATAGTGTAGTTAGAACATCTACAGGGATTTCTTTAAAAACACTCATTAGGGCAAACAAAAAGCTTCAAAAATAATTTTAAATGATCATATGTGTTCAGTTTACAAAGGGTTCAGGATGTGAGGTGGATGAGATGACCACTTCCAGCAAGTCAAAACAGTATCTTGTGAAGTTTGTGTGTCCTTCACTTTGACTGTGAAGTCCACAGAGAAGACAGATGATCAAAATAACTCTCTGTTTTCTTTCAATTCAGTGCTGAGTACAAGAGAAGGACTAAATATGTTCAGAAAAGTCTTAATCCTGAGTGGAACCAAACAGTCATTTATAAAAGTATTTCCATGGAACAGGTATGTAATGATTACTGCCTAGGAGACAGACTCAGCCTAATGTGAGGATAGTGCTGGCAGAATTATTCGGAGTTCGGTACCCATATCCATTTTTGCCAGACAAATACATGCAGAAATGCAGCCCAAGAAAGGAATGGTGTGCAGCTCAAATACAGGAGGAAAGTAAATGTGAACATTTTGACAAAGCAAGCAAAAAAAACCCAAATCTAACAAATAGATAAAATAAGAAGACTAGTAGAATATTTTCCATTGCTTCTTCCAAAATTTAAAAATTTCAGTAACCTGTTATACTTTTTACTGTAGAGGGAAATATTTTCTGACAGCTATATTTTGACCTTCATAAATAATATAAAGGAAAAGGAAAATTCAATGCTCAGAAATGTATCATTCTACCGAACAGTACTTCAGGAGTCCATCTCTTCTCTAAATTTCGGCCTTCACAGAGAAGGCAGAACAAGGGTGAGCGTCAAGGATGATCTCCACCATTAGGTGACTCCAGGTGCCTGTCCTCCACATGCGTCTGAAAATCCACATTTGGTAACATCTCACGAATGACGAGAATAGCTGGCAGTTTATAAAATTAAATTCAGAGCTAACACAAATAATACAGGAAGAGGTCACCCATACGAAGCAATTAATGATCTTTCAAAGTGAGGCTTTTGTACTCTAAAGAGTTATTTGATTATATAGTTCAAGCTGGGTATAAATAAATTATAATCTGCATCTTTAATTTAAAATAAATTCACCTGCAGGAAGAAGATGATGATACTGTCTTTCCTTCTGGACATCACTGAAACAAAAGCTATAATCTAAATGCAATAAATAATTATAGATATTGTATACTTGAAGATTATACTTGAAGTATATACTTGATTTTATATACTTGAAGATTATGTATAGATTCTGCTTTCTATTTTTAAAAATGGGTGGGTGGGGAAGAATAGAGAAATGCAAAATAAGTGTCACCATTCTGTGCCCAAAGCAATGAAGTCTAGTGATTAAACACTAGCATGGACTGAAACATAATCAATGACACTTTTGCACAGTATTTGATGAACCTACACAGCTTTAGACAAAATTTCAAATATGTTTTACACCAATGGAAAGCATTCAGGGTAAAAACAGATGAGTTGATATATTAATATGATGAGAAATTATGATAGAAAAATGGGGGTAATGCCAGTTTCATTTGAACTGCAGCTCAAAAAGAAGACCCTGGAGGTGACGGTCTGGGATTATGACAGATTTTCTTCCAATGACTTCCTTGGGGAGGTGAGCCTCTGATCTACTTCTCTGCACTTGCTGCTACGATAAGCCATCAATGAAGGCGCAATGCAAAGCATGTTTCTGGAGTGTGTAAAACAGCCATTTCTGAACGCGTCCTTTCACAGATGGAATCTATTTCCTGAGTCCCTCTGCGAATAGATGGACAGCAACTTGAGAAATGGTTTTCTCTGTGCCACTTGATACACTTTATAGTTAATTCACAAGATTAAATATAATTGCCTAACTGGGAAGATATATACGCCTGCTGTGAGTCTAAAAGAGTTTTTGAGGTAATGCATTTATAGTATAAAATGAGCTGGACTTTTAAAAATGCAACTTCAGCTTCCTCGCTGCACTTCTGAAGGCCTGATATAACATTTTACATTGTTATTTATGATTAAATAGCCTGATCTCAGCAACTGCAAAATGCACCATTATTTATGTTCCACTGAGAAGAAAAAGTGCTGTCAGTGAACCCATGACACCGTGCTGCCTCCTCATCAGCTGTTAGTCCTATCGCTGTTCCAGATGTTTACACACATCTGTGAATGGAAGAAATACAGTACTAACTGCAAGTTTCCCGATTGTTCCCTTTTCCTTTTGTCCCAAATGTATGCCCGAAGTCAGACATCTTAAAAAGTTGTTAGCCAGTGTTAGAAATTCAGATAACCAGAAAAGGTTTTTGGATGAAAAGACTGACTTGTGACCCTGCCAATCTGCATAATTTCCAAAGGGTTCAGGTAACAGTCACAGACTACGCGCTTCAATTTAATCTCACATTCACTGCGCATCCAGTATACATAAGACCTTGTTTCCAATGCCATGAGTGAAGAGAAATGAGAGAAAAGAAGGAAGCAAGGTGAGGAAGACAGGTCCTCCTCCTAGAGGTTGTACTGAACCCTCTGGTTTATAACTTGAGTGGATTTTAGATCACAGGAAGAGGTAACGCAGTACAGCTGCCCCCAGGGATCTCACTGGTCGCTGCGCTTTCTCTCAGGTACTGATCGACTTGTCGAGCACGTCTCACCTCGATAACACCCCTAGGTGGTACCCACTCAAGGAACAGACTGAGAGCATCGATCACGGCAAGGCGCACTCCAGCCAGGGCAGCCAGCCGTCCCCAAAGCCGTCCGTCATCAAGAGCAGGAGCCACGGCATCTTCCCTGACCCATCCAAGGGTAGGAGGCGTTTCCACTCCAAAGAGCTGTGGGTGTGTCCGTCTGCGGGGTACCTGCTTGAGCGTGAGTGCCTCTTGATTGTGCGTGGGCTCAGAGTGCTTAGGAGAAGTTCAGGCCCTAGCAGGCGGGGCCTGGGCACGGAATAGGTGAGTCGCTGTGGTCGCGGATCTGAGCCTTCTTAGCTGTGTGCCTGCCGTGTCCATTTCACGCTCTCTGTTCTTTAACCCTCGAAGTGAAAGAGATTAGTACATGTGAACTAGTCGGTCTTCTGTTTCTCAGACTTCTCGGCACTGTGATTTTAGAAAGGGTATTGGGTGTTTCATACAGAAAACATAAAAATCCCTCCTAGCCCAGTGCCACCGTCAGCATTCCGAGTTAGCTACTTCCTCTTCATTGCTTGAGTCTCTACTTTGTCGTAGTTTTACGCTATGGTTTATGTGGTGTTTCTCAGGCATCGGCTTGGGCAGTATACACACTCGGCCCTTTCCGGGGCTTTTTCTCGGAGGGTTTATTGCCAGAGGTCTTAGCACAACAGGAATCTCTTCGTGATAAATTGGGTAGTAAGAGAAGGGCGCCATGTCCTGCCGGATGGCCTGAACTACTGTTCGTAGTAAGTGCAGTTTCTACGCAGGACTGGACGCTGCCTCCCTGACCCCGATGTTCCCTTGAGAAAGCTCCCCGGGCTGAGCAGCGCACGCAGGTGTGGCGCACAGGGCCGGCGCTCGCGGAGGGGGAGGCTGGCCCCTTCCTGGCTGTGGCGACCAGCACTCCGGAGGGAGTCTGCGGGTCGCGGAGACCCCTGCGGCCTGCTTGCGCGCACGGCCCCTCGGCCCGCGGGGAGACGTGGCGGACACAGCCCCTCGGCCTGGCGACCTTGCCCTCGCGGGCTTTGCCACCCCCGGGGGCTGAGCGCGGCTGCCCTGGCCTCAGATCAGACCTGGTCGGGGCCCAGTGCCCCGGACCGGAGGACCGACCTGCTGGCCTGGGCCCGCGGGCAGGGCCTGCAGCGGCCGCCGAGCCCTAACTCTGTCCCACCCTTCCGCAGCGGACATGCAGGTTCCAACCATGGAGAAGTCGCACAGCAGCCCCGGCAGCTCCAAGTCGTCGTCCGAAGGCCACCTGCGCTCGCACGGCCCGTCGCGCAGCCAGAGCCGCGGCAGCGTCACCCAGGCGCACCTGGAGGACGCGGGCGCAGCCATCGCCGCCGCCGAGGCCGCCGTGCACCAGCGCCTCCCGCCAAGTAAAAGACGCAAGTGACCGGCATGGCCCCGCCCCCGCCGCCCGCCTCGCTTTCTGTCCTGCACCCGCCCCCTGTCCTCTGTCGCGTCTATGTGAGAGCAGTGCCGACCATACACGGGCTCTTTCTCATTTTCTTTCTTTTTCGTTTGTGTTTGTTTTTTTAATTCACGTAGACTGCAATAAAACTGGCTGTTTCTCCTTTGTGTCCACCCTACACCCAACCCGGCTCACCGTATCCAGGAGCTCTGTCTGTGATGTTCTCAGGCCAAGCCATGTTGTACGTCCTTTTGTGTGTACCTAAGTACCCTCTAGAATACACAAATTATAAGCACAAGGGACTGCCGGTTTTCCAGGCATTGCACCAAAAAAGCACACACATACACACACATACATGCGCACACACACATGCAAATTAGCAATGAGGTCCTTGCACCTGAAATCACTGAAAAATTTTAAGTAGAACAGTTGGGAGACCAGCAGTCAGGTCCTGCAACCTAGAGGGGAAACTATTTCAAGCTAATGCTTAAGACGGTGTGAGAAATTCTGCACGTGAGGCTGTAGCTTTCCCTGTGGGAAACCTCTTAGTCCTCTGAGAACGCTGTGATGAAAATGCTATCTTACATACATTGGTACCTTGGTTCACGAACCTAATTTTTTCCACAGTTTTGGAAAAGACATCCACATTTGTGTTTGTGTGGGAAAGATTGCTGCAGTCCTGTTTGCCAGGTAGAGTTTGCAGACAAAACCAAAATGTTGCCAAAGGCTTTTGTTTGCAAACCAAATTGTTCACAAACGAAAGAGTTCATGAACTGAAGCACCACTGTCTTCTTCCAAAATACACCTTGTTAATCTATGAATAATTCTACACGATGAGGCAGTGTCACTTCACCAAGGAGCACAACTAGATCCGTCCTCTTGGAACTCGCTTTGTGTATGATCACAGAGAATTTAGAGCTTACCTGTTCCCTAACCATTGAAATCCTTCAAAATTCAAGATACGCTATGTCCAGTAGCTATCAATCCATTAAAGTGTGTTTGCCGCTGAATTTCATCTGTGAGCACTTGAGTCACCTGGTAATAATTCTGTAACAACCCAAGTGCTCCAGTTACTGTGCACACCCCGGGGGCTTTAGCCAGGCAGTAGAGAGACTGCTGTCTTCCCGCCCCACGCCCCATCATCTTTTAAAAGAAACAGCCAGTTTTAACCTCCTTTAGTGCTGTGCATGTTGTGTCCTTTTGGCATTTGAAAACACAACCTAAGTAGAGCAAAAGAACACTTCCGTTTGCATGAATCCCATGAGACCGGTTCCGTCCGAGGGTCCACACTCGGGGTTTCCATCTCACCCACACTGCGACAGCAGCACATAAGAGCGGTCAGTCTAATCATGCCAGGACGCAGCACAGACACAGCGTAGCAGGAGTCCTCCCCATTCAGAGAACTCAGTCTGACAATCTGCCTCCACCAGCCAATGGTAACCAAGACCAAAGCCAGCTAGCCCTCAGGAAGGCGATGTCCGATGGACCGGTCCAGCCAGAAGGAGGTGAGCAGAAAGGCCGTGTTCAAAGCACACAGCGAGAACATCCCCCCACTTTAAAGCTCTCATCTTTAATTTTTAGAGATTGTCTGATGAAAATGTTCATCCCCCTTTTAATGTGCTTTTGTGGGCATGGCATCTTAGGACGTCATTGTCACCGTGTAGTCCCAAGATCAGTCTCGTAATAAATTGATAACAGTGATTTGTATTTTTCTACTCACTGGGCCTCTTTTGACTTTTGTTGGGGAATAGATTAACAGTATTCATATTACAGAATGGAATGCATGCTACTAACCTAATCTGTTCAAGCATGACTATACATATATTGCATTGTGATAAAAGTTTCAATTGCCACAATTCAACTTAGCCTATCAGTTGAAATGTAGATCAGTTTTTTTTGTTGTTGTTGCATACGATTTGAAGTGTAACTTTTGAAAATTCTTAGAGGAAAGTAAAGGCAAAATTGTTAACGCACTCATTCATCTTTCCATGGTGAAAGTTCTCTCTTGATCTACATGCAGCCGTGTTCCATTCGTGTCTCCATAGTTGTTTAAGTGTATCAGATGTGTTGGGCATGTGAATATCCAAGTGCCTGTGTAATAAATAAAGTATCTTTATTTCATTCATAAACTACTGGGTTCTGAGCCATTGTTATATGCTGCAGCATAAAATGAGCGTGTCAGTTTTTTGTTTTCTCATTTGATTCCCTATAGTATAGTTACTGCCCCCGTTGCTAGCGAAAGTTGTGATGACAGAAACATTTGGGTGCAGAACAGAGTTCCATGTTGGAAACGTTATAAATGGAAGAAAAGGGCATTACCCAATGAAAGCGTCAGCGCTTCCATGGAAACCTAAAGACATAACAGGCTCGGGCTATGCGAGGCAGGGACACCATTTCTTCTCTTTCTCGTGCCTGATCTGCCCAAGTCTTCTCAGGCTCCTGGATAGAGCACGATAAATCCCATGATGTCTTGCTTTGGAGAACCAGCTAACTTGGGCCTCATAGCTATATTCAGAAAGGAAAGCAAGCTTCTATCTGCCCCTCACGTCACCCCAACAATTGGAATTTTCTCCAAGAAAGAATGCTGCTGCCAGTGATGGGAATCCAAGTAGAGTGACCAAGAATATCTTCAAATGTAATTCAAAAACATGTCTTTTAGAAAAGACCTTTTAAAAAATAGATAGCACTGTTAGCCCTCTTCCATAACTCCGAGCCCTGAAATATTCGTTTATTATTCTGAATTTGCCACAAAATGAAAATCAGGCCTGTACTCTTTTTGCTTTCTCTTTATTCTCAGAAAATTACAAACATTTACTACCCTCTTCTCCCAGTGAATCACATATTTGGGTTCAGTAGGTGTACACAGCAGCGTGGAGGCAGACCACTGAAATATCTCCTAAATTTGCCATTAATTATCATTGGGGACATAATTAGCTTAAACATTAGTGTAATTCTGAACATGTATTTTCTCAGCCCAGTTAATAGATTAGCATCAGAACAAAATTTCTCTTTTCCTGCTAGTCTTACTTTCTAAAATTACTTAAAATTCCACCTCTCACCTTTTTTCCATGAAATAAACTCAGTTGATTTCTTCATGTTACTCATTTTCTTCTTTGAAGTATTGCATTAATTATACGTGTCACAGTAATCAAACACTTCCCTTAATCAATGCCTTACTTTAAGTATTATTATTTAGGTCTTACCAGATAATTATTTTGTAAGTGTTTTATCATAGATGTGATTCTTAAAATGCGTACAAAAATGTTTTAAACACTTTTCTTTGAATAATGCTCAAATAGATATTCCTTTCATTTAAAATGCTACTTGAATTAGAAGTTACTCTATTGAAATCACAAAGGGAAAACTAGATAACATATAATTCATTCTTATTTAATTTTGTCCTAATTGTTGATAAATGAAGTACTCCATTTTCTAAAATTTAAACATATTACTTCTCTACTACTCTAAGTGTTCCAATAATATAATTGCACTGTGCATTTTTTCCAAGTACCTAATAGTACATGTACTGTGGGATGAAATTTGTATAAAATTCAGTGTAATTTGTTTAAAGCTGGAGAGAAAACCTAACCAGAGATATAAACATATAGCCAGCAAGTTCCTGCTCACTAGTCACTTTCTGCAGAAGTATTAGAAATAACTTTCCATGACTGGGTAAAAATCCCCGGTTCAGTCCTCCCAGAGGAGTTCACTTAATGTCATCCTCCTTCTGAAAATAATATTCTACCTTCAAATGGTGCTTCATGTTGGCTGAAGCATTTTGTCATCCAGATCTCGTTTTCTCACACTGACTGGGTGAGGTGGTCCTACCCAGATGTAGGTAAACAGCCCCAGGCCAGAGGTGTAGGAGGCTGATGCAAGAACACACAGAGAGAAGTGTCCAGAACCAGCTACTGTGACCCTTGTCTGTGACTCTGAGACCTTCGCTTTTTAAATGCATTGACCCTTCTGAAATCGGACACCTCTGATTTCAACAAAAACAATTGTCATTTACTTATTTTTAGCTGATCCCTAAAATTCTTTCAGATTATTAGAGGTAGCTAGAAATGGTGACAAAAATAGTTCAGCCTTGACCTACGTGAGCCTCCCCTCCAGCGGCCGGTGACCGAACTGGAAAGCAGTGGCAGGAGCTCTCCACTGAGCAAGCCCCGCAGGCAGCAGCAGGGTTGGGAGGAAGTTTTGGGTACATCTGGGGGCATTCCTCTCAAGGGTAGCAAGACTGTCCCTAAGAGCTCTCGGTTTTTCTTCGTAAGCTCTTCAACAGATTTCTGCTTGAACTAGCATAGTATATGGGTCAAGCCAGAATTATGGAGTAAGTCACAGGAACTTTTTCTTTCCCCCTGGGGTTTAGTTGTGCACTAGGAAATCTGAAGAGAAAGATTAGATAGATTGACCAAGTCCTCCGGAGGCTTGATCAACTCTGCTTTTGTTCAGAAATCCTTGGAAGCATTTTGGTCCAAGCCCCTGGGTTTGGGTGAACATGGATAGACCCTACTGTTACAGACATCAGCCAGGGGAAGTAGTAGTTTTAATTTTAGCTTACAAGAAAAATTAAATTTTTAATTTTTTTTAACAATTAAAATTAACAATTTTTTAACAATTAAAATTTTAATTTTAGTTTTGTTTTGTTTTAATTTTTTATTTATTTATTTAAAAAAACCTCAACAAAACCAAAGGAGACATTCTTAATGGCTTAAAGATTAATATAGTTGGCATCTAATGAATCACATTTTCAGTGCAATTTGAAAATTCCTATTTTTTGACACTAAGATTTTACATATGAGTTTTAAAGGTAGCAGCATCATTCAGAATGGGTATGTACATCCTTCCTCCCTGGGCAATCATAAACTAGCACTGTTGGGAAAGTCAAAAAGATTAGGTGAGAATATGAATAATTAAACGACTTGGGTGAGGGCCTTATGAACGCCAGTTCCTCGGCGTGGCCAA